GTGTCTCATAATCTTCTCTCCTTCTCCTCCTTGTGTCACCATCTCTGGTTGCAAATCACAGAATCACACAATTGTCTAGGTTGGAAGGGACCTTTAAGATTATCTAGTCCAACCATCAACCTAACTCTGATTTAAAAAAAAAAAAAATCACAAAAAACCACATCACCAAGCCATGTCACTAAGCATTATGTCAACCCATCTTTTGAACACCTCCCAGTGATGGTGCCTCAACCACTTCCCTGGGCAGCCCATCCCAATGCCCTTTCAGTGTAAAAAAATTTTCCTAATATCCAACCTGAACCTCCCCTGGTGCAACTTGAGGCCATTTCTTCTTGTCCTATCGCCTGTGACTTGGGAAAGGAGACAAACCTCCACCTCCCTATAACCTCCTTCCAGTTAGTTGTAGAGAGCAATAAGGTCTCCCCTCTGCCTCCTTTTCTGCACCATGTCCTGCACCATGGTGGAGCAGGACCAAGCAGCCCCTGCAGAAAAGAGAGAATGCAAAATGCCAGAGCCCTGTCAGGCTTACTTAGTTGGTGACAGCAACAAGAGCACACACAAGACAAACCCAATGTCTGTTTTAGATCTGTAGTGCAGGCACTCTTCATGCCATCCTACCTCTCCTATGACTCGAGGGAAGACAGAGGCCCCTTGGATAAAACTAAGGAATATTGTGGTGACATACTCTGCCCTTGTGCTGCCTCTGATGTGACCGAAGGTAGAGTAGCATGATGATTATGTGACAACAGATATCCATGTGCCACAGAGCCCTCCATCCTGACAGAAAAGGCAAGCAGTAAGAAGCACCACAAGCCCGGACGGTAGAGGTCATATGTTATCATGACCCAACCCTATTTCCTTCCATGTGGCCACAGATAGTTATTATGGCACTGATGCTTGCAAGTCCCCTTGTTCTGGCTGGGTGCTCAGGGCAGGAATTTCAGTGTAGGTGGACATGTGTGAATGTCATAGGGGCTGAAAAAGAGAGTTAATACTTTCAGCCTGATACCTGATGCCAGGCATCAATGTGATAACTTAAAAAAAAAACGCTCTCATTTTCAAGACCCTTTGACAAAGGTAGCTCTTCTTTATTTTCATACTTACTTTTACTCTGTAATTGGGTCAGCAAAAGATAAGGTCCTTTTTTTGTCACAGCTCTTCCCCACTGCAAAGGGGACACACCCAGCATTTCTGCTGAGCAGCTCCTCTGGGCCAGCTGTCAGCCCTGGTAAGATGTGGACTTCAAGACCAAATCATGAGGAGTTCACTCAGAGGCAGGACCTTGAGCAGTTGTATTGCATTGCAATTTTACCCTAGGCATGGCCTGGGTGCCCTGAGATCGGCAGAGCTGCTAAACAGCCAAGAGCACATTCTGGTTGTGGCTTTTGATTGCCTTCTGCTTAGATGACTGGGAAAAACAGAAGAATGAAAAATAACCTAATTTAGATGAAAGATATAAAACAAAAAATCCTCTGGCGCCTCTCAGACCCATGATGATAAACCATCCTCAGAAAAACATCTTGTTCCAGAAGTACTGGAACTAATGAATCCTTATTTCCTACAGATTTGTGTCCTGTGGGTTGACTGACTTGTGTGGTCTGAGAAGATGTATGCTTTTTGGGTGACTGGAGAACGTGTGAGGTCTCTCTCTGCGTGGATTTGTTGCTTTCTCATAAGGTGTGTTCACATTGTGCTTTCCCCAAATCTGGGCAACAAACTGGGGATGAATGTCTTTATACAGCTGCTTATTATTAGAGACTTCTGAGAACATATCTTTGTTGGTCAGTAGATTCAAAAGTTGTTAGGAGGGAACACAAACATCATATAAGCCTTGTTTCCACAGGAAACGGGACTAAAAAACTATTGCTCTCCTTCTGCCTTCTGCTCCACACTTTCTTCTGTCTTTCATGGTCCTTTGTCTGTCCTCAGGAACAAGAAGCACCCTATGTGCTGTAGGGAGGCAACCTCCTTCCTTGTTTGTTCCATCTTTTCCAGTGAGTCTGCCTTGCTCAGCTATTACCACCTTCATCCTTGTCTTTCATATAACCTCACCTCAGCAAGGAACTAAGTTGAGGAATGATTCACCTGCTGGTAAGAGAAGCAGCCCCTTTGGAAGGTCAGCCAGGCTTAGCCATGTTTTGTCTGTCTTGTGATACAAGCAATAACCTTTTCTTCTCTGCAGGTAGGTAGGAATCAACCTGCTGTTTAGCCCAGAGTCAGTCTTTGACAACTGGAACCACTGAACTGAACATTCTTCTTAATAAAATTTAAAAATGTATAATTATAATTTAATGTTGATTCATTACATGGAGTTTGGTATCTATTAAATAAGAACAAATGCGTCCCTGTTTTCAGTGCACACATTTGTCCATCAGCAGGGTGACTGTCAGGTCAGCTGTGGAGTTACAAGAACAGCATATACACCAGAATATAGATTTTTATGAATCTTGTACCCCAACAAGGCTGAAAGGTCCCTTTTGAGAAATATTTTCCACTGATCTACCAAGCACTGTCAGCTTTTCATACTACATGTTGGATGCTCACAAATATAGTTGTAATGTTGATGTTTCTCCTTTATAATCTCTGAGTTAACTGTTCTAGTTGCACTCAAGCCATTTGCAGGTGTTTTCTTTCCTTGTTCTTTTTTTCACATTTCATTTATTTTCATTTCAGTGTTAAATAATGCTATCTGAGTAGATTGTTTCACATTTTCTGATATTAAGGAACACCATCTTTGCAGAAATACTGGCAATTCCTTCAGGCAGAGCTAGTTGACAGACAGAATTTGCAACCTTTAGAAAGCTCAACCGTGTAAGAATATTTCTATTTTGCTTTGGAAGAAAAGAATCAGTGGTTCATAAAGGTAGCTATGACATTTTCAATTTGAAAAACATCAAAGTTATTCCTTTAGAATCTGCTAAAAGCAGCAGGGAGCTGTGTGTGCCCTGGCCTGCCCACAGCTCCCTGGGCGCCGGTGATTCTTGGGGTCTCCCGTGCTGTCCTACCCCGATGGAGTCCTGCGGGAAGTCCAGGGGGCCCCCAAATGTGCTGCTGAGGGGTAGGAAGGTGAAGCAGGCTTCAGAGGAGTCTCCCCAAATCCCCTCGAAACCAAGGTACTTGTGCAGAATAGTTTGATTTTGACATACCAGCGTGCGCTGAATTGAACTAGTTCATTCATCCCACTTCCCCCTCGTCCCTTCTACTCCTGGGAGCTTCCAGAAGCGTCCCTCTGCTCCGTGCCCCTTCTCCAAGGCAAACCTGATCAAAACCTTCTTTTCCTCCTGTTCGCCAGCAAAACGCGAGGCCGGCAGGAGCGGGGAAGGGATGCCGGGCTCCTCCTCATCCTGCGGTGCACCTCTAGATGGGGTAGGCGAGTTTCTGCAGCCAGCAGAGCCCGCTCCGCAGCTCCCGGCTTTTCCGAAACTTCCCCAGCAGAAGGAGAAGTTGTTGGGAAGCCCCTGGGAGCCTGCGAAGGGAGCGTGGGGCCGGCAGCTGAGGGCTTTGGTGCTTTTTTGGGCTCCCTGGGACCCAGCTGGGGACATTCATGACAAGCTCTGCGAGGAGAGGAGAGGCGTGCTGGCTGGGCACGATTCTTGGCACCTGTGAGAGCCCGACCAAGTGGTTACCCCGAGCCTTGTACCCGCCGGAGGACCTCTTCTCTGGGTTTTGGTGGTGGTGAGCCCATCTGCACAAGGTAGGCTTGCGTCAAGCGTATCTGCTGCCTCTCTCCAAAGCCAGAGTGGCTCTGGTACGGGGACCACTTTGTCGAGGGGATGTCACTGAGGGCTGTGGCTGGAAATCATGTCATTTTAAGGTTTCGTTTGAGCGAGATCTCCCATTCAGTGGGTTTTTTCTGCTAAAGAACTCCTAAAGAAAGTAGCTACAGTTCCTGGTAGTATCTTTGATTAAAAGCTGAAGTTTCCTCGCTTCGAATGTGTTTTAGACTTTTTTGTTATTAAAACTACTGATGTTCTGACCAGTTCATAAACTCTAAAGGATCCAGCGGGGCTTTTTATTTGAGTGTAAGTACGTATTTCTCCAGAGGATATTGAAACTGCTGTTTTCGGTTTTGTGTCAACATTGCAAACTAATTTGCCTGTACGTTTTAGACTGTAACTATACTTTTTGGAATCACAGCCGACGCTGTAAGATATCGCAGCATCGATAGTGTTACAGCTGACTGCCTATACGTGTGAATACATGTTTGCAGCATGCCGATTTTTAATTTCCCTGCTTCCACAATCTGGCTGTAACAGGGTGCTGTGGGACTGAGGTCTGGAGAGGAAAGCGGGCTGCTGCCCGCACTGAGGAGGGCCTGGGCAGCAGTGCCATCCCGTAGGGGCTCCGAGCATGGTACGCTATTGCTGTACGTGGCGCCGGAGTAGCTTTGAAATGCCCAGCTCTGGGGGAGCAGAGAGCTCAGCCAGGGCTGCAAAACCTACTCCAGCAGTAAAGTGGCCGGTGTGAGCCTTGCACGACTGTGCAAGACTGTCACTGGTACTGAGCTGGGTTTTTTTAGCTGCCGCTGCCATGGCTACAGCACTGATACCGTGGATTAGAAAAAGTGCAGCTAGATGCTTGCAAGCCTAAGAGAAAAAGTGTTTTCATTTTTGCAGTCAGTGGAGCTTTAGGTATTACATGAAGGGGTACTGGAGACCCCTGAAGATCTGTCCCTCATAGGATGATGGGTGAGATCCTCATCTAGGGCAACAGTGCCAAGGCGCTTAGTGATCAACGCCTACTTGGGGTACCACCCAAAACCTCTTCATATGCCTCAAGCTACAAGGAAAGCTTTCACACCTACAGCTGCTGTTCGTTGGAATAGACAAGGCCTATGGCTACTGCTGCCACTCCACTACAGCAGAGGAGGGGGATGATGTTGTACAATGCAGTTTGGCATGATAGGTCTTGAAATGTTGCAGCTCTATAAGAAAAATCATGGGAGATCGAAAATTTTAAAAGGAAATTAATGTGCTTGGGCAAAGTGGGATCAAACCCCATGATGTTGATCAGGATTACTCAGTTCTTTGTTCTTCTCTGTCAGAAATGTCAAAGATACAGAAAGTGAAAATAAAGTTTAGGCATCTAATATCAAAGAGCAACACTGGTAAGAAAATAATTTTGAAATTAAATGAAACAAGAACAATCAAATGAAGCAAATATATGATATTCATCAACAACCAGTTTGGCTGGGCATCACTCAGTGGGAACAATTTCATCTTCAGGTAAGCTCCTGTGAGCCCAGTGTCACTGGAGATGTCTGACAAGGGTGAAACTATTACCTAAGCTTGGCCCAGCTCTTTTGGTCAGTAGGGTACAGCATAGTTGTGTTGCTGTTTGCAATAATGTAGTCTGACCACAACAAAGAGCTCAGATGAGAATGTGCCCAGAAAAAGCCAGCAGGCTTTTTTTTTTTAAACAGATAGATAGCTTTTATAGAAAACTGCTGCCATAAATAGACATCTTTTTCTCTATTGCAGCTCGATGGAAAACATGTGATGTTTTAATTTTTCACATCAGATTGTGAGATGGTAATTTTCAAGGGATCATACTGAATTATATGCAGTAGGAATCACCTCACTGAAAATGTTGAACTGAATGCGTGGCTGTACCACAAAGGTGTTTAGAATTCCTCCAAAAAGGGCCTCATGTAAACGTGACATTTCTTGGAGGACTGGAATATTTTGTCAGAGCCTACAATTTCTAATTGAACCCATATAGCCATGCTAGAAAAATGGTCCAAGTCTCAGTTTTCAAAAAATAGCAGCATAAGCTTTTGAAGATAAGATTAATATTAAGATAATGTTTTTCTCATGTTGTCATCAGTGGAGGAATTCCCCTCTAATATCCTCAACAGAGTTGTTTCCTTTAGCCGTACTAGGATGGAACTCGATTTCAGATCGTATCTATGCTGCTTCTCGTCTCGGCTAAAGGGTAGCTAAATTGCAAAGTGAGCTACTGCCTATAGCTGAATAACCCAAGAGGTTCCAGCATGACCACACCCTGCATGAGTCATTTGTGAGGAACTGGGGGCAGATCAGCCTTTCCATTCACTACTTTTAAAAGAAGTATCCCATTTCTCCCTCCAGTTATCCTCCAAACCAGGCCTTTGTTGCCCTGTGGTGAGTGCCCTCAAGATCCGTTATGTTTCTTATGACACATCCAGAAGATAAAAAATGCCCCTTTTTACCCAACAGCTCCTGGAGCAGCAGCTCTTGGTAGGGAAAAATGTTCCTTCCTAATATTTAGAAATGTTCTAGCCAGTGAAGCATTAGGGCAGGAGTCATTTGCAGAAACAGAGACGCTTTCTTGCCAGGTATATTCCAATGAGGCAAGTCCCTGTAAGAGATTAGATATTACTGAACAAGGATGGAATTGTGACATTTATGACTGTCCACCTTGGCAAATATTATTGACCTGTGGCTATGGTCACTGTGTGGACAAAGTGCTTGGCCATACTTTTCCCAGAAAATGAAGACCTGGCTTCATACAGCAGAAGATTGGATTCATACAGAATCCAAATATTATTTGGAGTCCAAGTAACTTGTTCTTTTGTTTGATTTGTCATTCATCCAATTCTATTAAAAACAAACTGAGATCCTGGGCCCATGCAGTTGATGGCAGAGCTCCCGCAAGGGTGGTACGCCCAGTTCTTGCTGGCTATGTGGCAACATTTCATGATCAAACACTGCTTCCTGAACCATGTAAGCTTTGCACACATTTCTTCTGGCTTGACATAGCTCAGATCTTTCAGTTTCTTTCCACTAGGGAAATCAGAACAAAAGTAGAGAGGAAGTTATTTTCAAATTCAGAAGGAGTCCATTAGAAATAAAAGAATAAAAGATAAACAAAGACTATTTTAAAGCACTATCTGCTATTGTCTTTTGAAGAAGTTAAAGCTTTGCCAGTGGATTTTCAAATCTCTGTGGAGAGGGAGTCAGGGCCGCATCCTCCTGAACCGCTGCTAGCGAGTGCTGGTTTTGAACTGTCAGAAGTGGCATTCTGTGAAGTTAATCCACAATGCTTGAGCTGAATCACCCGCCATGGATCTACCAACAAGTTTTACATTACCATAACGTCTGACCATCTGCAGTGCAAAATCTATAGCAAAGTCCCTGCTGGATTTCATATAGTTTCCGGCATTTATTCTTTTTCAGACTCAGTTCTGTGGAGCTGAGCTTTTTTTGGATTCCGTGCCTTAAATACTGCTTATTTCCTTTTTGGGAGCAGAGGGCTGGTAAGATTTTATGTAGCAGAAGGGACTGCCAGAGCTGTGTCAGTTTTACAGCAGAAAGGCTTTTTCAGGAGGTTGATGTTGCCCCATTCCCTGCCCCACAAGAAACCTCTCCAGCAGTTGGTGGTATCTCAGCTGACGCTTGCCTGACTTGCTGTGCATATGATGCTAGGAGGGTCTTGATGAACCAACTATCCAGGGACCTGCTCTGATAATAAACATGTGCGGGGTAAACTGTGTTTTGGGATTGTTACTTGGGTTCGGTCAATGGCCACTGGGGAGATGGGGGGGAAAAACAAGAGTTTATAATGTTTGTTTATGAAGAGTTTATAAAGAGATGACTGTGCTTGTGGCATCCTGAAATATTAATAGACCTGAGACCCTTTTGATCTTGAAGGCCAAGATCAACCTCATTGCAAACTTCCAGCATCCAACCCTTCTCAACTAATCTTCAATGAGAGGTTTGCTTCCCTACTGGAGCCCGGCATGGAAAGATATATGAGCTCCAGTTTCTCACTGTCTTTGTCTCCGCTGTGCAAATGCTGATGGATGTACATCCCCTGCAGATCGTGTTAATTAGCCCCTGGGTCATTAGGCTTTATGGCCAGGACATGGTGCTGCAAAACTCAGCTGAATCCAAGTCCAAGCCAGCTCTTTGGTAAGAAGGAATCCGGGAAAAGTTCCTCCCCTGAAGGTTGTGTTGCATGTGAAGTTCTGTTAGGCCAGCCCTTGTCCTCTGTTCAGCAATGTAACAGGCTGGGGACCAGAGCAGAAACATATGGCCAAGTACTGAGAGAGCTTTTAATTCTGACAGTGCATCCATCTCTTCCTTCGGATATATCACAAAGACAAACTACTCAAGTGCCATTTAAGCAGCATACAATTATTTGCAGATTGAGTGTAAGGATTTCTCTTTTCATTTTAAGCAAGAACCATTTTAATAGTTCAGTATTAGATATTTGTAATTATCCAGGCTAGAGTGTTGCACTCCTGTGACACGCTCCATTTTTCTCTCACAACTGTATACACACTCCACTGCTTGAGAGAAGGACCGGGGAGGGAAAGAGGTCTGTACAGTAATAGCTGATAAAGTGAGGCTTTATAGAAACTGGCTTCTGTCACTGAAGAGAAGGAGACGAAAAGGCCGTGTGCATCCACATCACACATCTTAGAAGAGAAAATCTGGGACTGCAAAAATATGAGGAACAGACGAGATCAAAGGCTAAAATGGCAGAATCTGTTAAACTACCTGGTGCTGGTTTATAGCCTGCTATAGCAGAGAACTATGACACAGACAGCATCCTCAAACATCAGACTTAAATTTACCACTTATAACATAAAGGAGTTTGAAATTACCGTCCTAAAGTAAAGTTTCTCTTCCTATCGAAGTCAACAAAAAAATTTGTGATAGACCTGAAAGGAACAGAGTTTAGTCAGTGCTGAGCACAGTCCTGTCTCTG